CGCGGCTCAGGTCCAGTGCCAGCGTGGCGCGGGGCGGGGTGGCAGGAAGTGGGGTTGGCCTTCAGCCGCGCGCGGTATAGAGGCCCGGGCCCTTTCTTATTCTTCCGTAGAGGTGACCAGCGCTGGGCGTGCGGCCCCCAGGCTTTAGGTCCGTTTTTCCCATGTGTAGCCTCAGGCTGACCGCTCAACCTCTCTGATCTTGGGTTTCTTGACAGTATCCAGGAGTCGAGGAGCTGCTGCTGGGCTTAGCCGCTTATGGAGGGGCGCGCCGCTGAAATGTCTGAACTACTGAAAGGGCCTGACCAGGACTAGGTCCCTCCTTAAAAAGGGACCTCCGAGGGGGCTTAAGGAAATTCGTTGGAAAGTCCCATTCTTTTCGTTTTCCCTTAAGCTTTTTGAAGCCTTCAATGTATTTCCTGAGGGAGCTGGGGAAACTAGTGAAACGTACATAATACTTATCGATATGTCGATTTTCAACTCCTAACAATCCCATTGGAGTACAGATGCCTCATAAGGTTCCATGGTTGTAATCTTTACAACGGGCAGGCAGATGGTCAGCCTTCTTTCCAGAGGTGCTGCTGGGTGGTTTCAAACCTTTTTGTGAGCAATAGCAGGTGTCACATTTGTGCCACCAGGGTTCCTTAGGGAGCACCTATCTCTGTAAATGTTAGTGGCCCCATAAAAAAAGCTAGTTGTGGCAACTCTCAGGGGCAGGTTTACCCTGTGCATCAGGGTTGCTGAGTGAGAATGGACTCAATGTCTGAGTTTTTTGGTTTTCCCAATTATTGGAGATAATCATTGTAGTTTACTAATGTCTCCTTGAGAAGACCCCAAGGAGCCCTGGTGGTGTGGTGAGTTAGGCATAGGACTGCTAGCCACAAAATCAGTGGCTAACCCACCAGCCCCTTTGGGCGAGAAAATGAGGTGTGTCACTCTGGGAAAGACTTACAGCCTCAAACTCTAGAGGGTCACTAGAAATCCAAACGGCAGTGAGGTTGAGTAGCCCTGGGCCCTGTCACCAGGGATCTTCACCTAAGATCTCAGTACTAGGGTGACATGCTTAATAGCCCCATGGGATTTGGGGGTGGGGTAGGGGGTGGGAATGCTGTAGTGGGATTGCAGGTGTTCTTTATCTAATCAGTCCAGGTTGGACCTTGTTTGGAATTGGAGTCAGGAAGCAGCGGGGCCAAAGGAGGGGGAGGAGGAAACATTTTCATGATGCAAGAGGACTAGTCTGTGTGCCCAGCTCTTGCACTAGGGGGAGGGGGAGAAGGCAGCGCAGCATGAACCAGGCGAGTGATGTAATATGGGAGACAGAATGTAGCTGAGTCTTCAAGCCAGGCCAACAGAAGGTTCTGTTTTGTTGTGTTGAGGGGAGGAGCCTGCCTGGGGTGTTTGACCACTTAGCTAGCTGGGACCCTCAGTGACAATGAAGGGACCAGCTGACTAGATTCTCAAGTAAAGCTAGAAATAAGGGAGGCTCATGGGGTGTGCTCCTTCTGTTTGCAGAAAACTGAAAAACCGAGTAGCAGCTCAGACAGCTCGGGACCGCAAGAAAGCGCGGATGAGCGAGCTGGAACAGCAGGTGGTGGATTTGGAGGAAGAGGTGAGATGGCTGCAAGGCCAGGTGCCCATCTTGGCTCCTTGTCAACCCATCCTTTGGGAAGTTTTCATCCCAGTGTTTGCTGTCTTTGCCGTGTGGGGAATGCAGTTGGGTGAGGCACGGTCCACTCTCGGTTGGTGGGTTTGGTTTCTGATCTTGAATGTCAGGAACAGTTGAATTAAGCCAACTATCTAGATCTAGGTGCCACTAAAATGGTGGCTAAACTCGAAGGGAGCAGAATGGTTTCCGACAGGCCCTCTGGCATTTGTTGCTGGGTCTTTGTCACAGGTTGTGAGCTCAAGAAAGTTTACTGAGTTCGAACAGAGTAATGAGTAGGAAGTCACTGGTGAAACTTAAGCTCTTTCCGGGCTTGGCTGAAGTCCACTAAATGCTACCTCCTCTTTCTAGGGCTTGTTATCTAATGGAAGAAACAACCCACTAACCAAATATTATTCATCACCTTAAACAGACTCACATCCCGAGGGTTACTATGCAGAGGTTTGGTTGGTGGGTTGTTCCTTCCATGTATTACTTTTCTTAAATCATTTTATTGGGGCTCATACAATTCATCACAATCCATGCATACATCAATTGTGTAAAGCACACTTATACATTTGTTGCCCTCATCATTCTCAAAATTTGCTTTCCTCTTGGGTTCCTGGAATTAGCTCATTTTCCTTTTTCCCCTCTCCCCCCTCCCTCATGAACCCTTAATAATTTATAAATTATTATATCTTACCTTACACTGTCCGGCGTCTCCCTTCACCCACCCTTCTGTTGCCCATCCACCAGAGAGGAAGTTATATGTAGATCCTTGTGATTCCCCCTTTCTACTCCCCCCTTCCCTCCCGATAGGTATCGCCACCCTCACCGCTGGTCCTGAGGGGTTCATCTGTCCTAGATTCCCTGTGTTTCCAGTTCCCATGTATTACTTTTATACTCTTCTGCTACTACCACTTCTATTATCAGCCAGTTTAGGACAGGGTTTTTAACATTGCAAATTTGTTCTTGAGCCCAGTTCTTAAATTGCTGTTTTTAGAATTACAGCCTGCCCTTCTAGATCCTACCATGACTGACCACCAAAGCACAGCTTCTCACAAGTTCAAGAAGCAGAGAGCCCCGGTTGTGGTAGACCTTTGTCAGATGAATTCTGAAGTAAACAACTTGAGATGCTTTAATGGCCTCTTATGAACTTCTTTCTAGAACCAAAAACTTTTGCTGGAAAATCAACTTTTGCGAGAGAAAACTCATGGCCTCATCGTTGAGAACCAGGAGTTGAGAGAGCGCTTGGGGATGGATGCGCTGGTTAGTGAAGAGGAGTTGGAGACCAAGGTAAGTTGTCTCCTGTATTTTGTGCCCTCACATGAGAGCAGGTCTTGAGTGACTTAAGCCACCTCTCTCGGCCCCATGTTTCTGTTAACATTCTGGGGTGTACCCTGTTCTTGACATGATCCTTTAGTTTTCAAACATTTCCATGGAGGCAAGGCATCCTTTAATGACACTCATTTTAAGTGTGTACTCGATAGTTCTAAGTCCCAAGAATTCGAGTAAGTTAAATGGCCAAGAACTCAAAACTGTCATTAAGTACGTTCTTACTCACAGCAACCCTACAGAGCAGGGTAGAATTGCCCGTGGGTTTTGAAGGCAGTAACGCTTAACAGGAATAGAAGACCTCCTCTTCCTCCCAAGGAGCAGCTGGTGGTTTTGAATTGCTGACCTGGAGGTTAGCAACCCAGTGTGTAACCACTATACCACCAGAGCTCCTCTACTATCAGGTATTAAGAAATATAGTTGCCACCAAGATGAACCATGCAGACATCAAAAACCCAAAATGGGAGGATGGTCAAATCAGACTTGAATGCTACTAACACTGTAGTTGCCCTTCGATCCTACTATATGAATGAGTTGGGAAAGGATTCGTAAGAGACGCATCTCTGATAAGAGTAATGGCAAATTGAATGACAAGCCTTGAATGGATGCTCAAGGATGGACAATGTGGAAATTCTGTGAAGGAAGCGTCTAGCAAGGTGTTTATCAAAAAGATTTTAGGACAGGTGCTGTGCAACTTACGAATTTTGTTTAAGACTTATCAGTATGGCCTCTTTGCACTAGATAGAAAAAAAGTATCACCACACAGAGCCCCATTTTCTTAGCCTTTCTTGAGAACTTATAAAGGCCCTGACAATACTAAGGGCAAGATAGTCAGCACTATAGAACTGGTTTTCTAGCTTTCTTGGTAGCATCCCTCAAGCCTTTGGGCTGCCTGTGTACTCATCCAGTTTTCATCCCCAGGGGAATGGACCGAGGCCAGTGACCGGGTCTGCTGAGTCCGCAGCACTCAGACTACGTGCACCTCTGCAGCAGGTGCAGGCCCAGTTGTCACCCCTCCAGAACATCTCCCAATGGACTCTGACGGTGTGGACTCTTCGGACTCTGAGGTAGGGATCACGCTGAACGGTCAAAGCGCTGTGTAATTCAATAGTGCCACCTTTTTGGTGCCTGGAATCTCTTAACCAGAGAGGTGAGGGCAGAGATGGTGTGGGTGAGATTAAAGGTGAACATCAACTGCCATCTTGCTGGGTAACTTAGGATGCTGAGTGGGATCATCCCATAGCCTCGTGGTTCATTTATAGCAGGAAACCTTGTCCTGAGGGCTCTAGGGACATTCTGAAATGCATTCTGATAGTTGGTCTTACTTGCCTTTTTGCTTCTTTCAGTGTGATATCCTTTTGGGCATTCTGGACAACATGGACCCAGTCATGTTCTTCAGGTATCTTTCCCCAGAGTCGACCAGCCTGGAGGAACTCCCAGAGGTCTACCCAGAAGGACCCAGTTCCTTACCAGCCTCCCCTTCTCCATCACTGGGGACGTCACCAGCCAAGCTGGAAGCCATTAATGAACTAATTCGTTTTGACCACGTATACACCAAGCCTCTCATCTCAGAGATAACGTCTGAGACAGAGTCTCAAGCTGATCTGGTAGTGAAAATCGAGGAAGCACCTCCCAGCCCCTCAGAGAATGATCACCCTGAATTCACCATTGCAGTGAAGGAAGAACTTGTAGAAGATGACTTCATCCCGGAGCTGGGCATCGCAAACCTCCTCTCTTCCAGCCACTGCCTGAAACCACCTTCCTGCCTGCTGGACACCTGCAGTGACTGTGCATATGAGGCCTCCCCTTCTCCTTTCAGCAACATGTCCTCCCCACTTGGTGTTGACCATTCTTGGGAGGACACTTTTGCCAATGAACTCTTTCCCCAGCTGATTAGTGTCTAAGCAACAATTCAGTACTGCCATCCTTGCCCTTGTGTATTAACACCACTGCCTGGAGGATAGCAGGGAGGCTCATCTGCTCTAAAAGCCAAAGTAGAGAGGTGATGTCCTAGAAAATTCCTCTTAAGTATTTTGTCTGTTCAGATCTCAAAGATGACCCCAAGTATTGTCTTCTGACATCCAACAGCCCGAATACCCGGCTCTATGACAGAACTCAAAATCAACAGCTTTTAAGCTTGTACCTATCGGCACTGCCCTAAAACAGTTGTTATGAGGTGGACCATGCAGACAATAAGGGTTGTTGGGTGAATGTCTTCACGTAGACATGGTCTGTCATTTCCTGTCCCGTCAGCATCCCAGGCATGCTTCCAATTTTAGGTCCTTAGGCTTGTTCCCGGAAGCAGATAACCTACCTGAGGGGGTGACTTTTCCTTCACGTACAGTCCTAAGATCAAGAATCTTTTGTAAAATTATGGAAATTTACTATGTAAATGCTTGGTGAAGTTTCCCGGCTGCCGTAGCTACTGGAGGTGCTTTCTCCATTTATTTAAACCACCTGTGCAATTAAAAAGTGCAATGCAGCCTCCTCTCATTTCCTTCTCGAGCCCCATCCCTCTGCTCATCTGCTATGGTGACACACTTTTTTGCCCACTGGAACGCCTGGCTGTGATAAATGACATAATCTGCTCATGGAGCAGCTACATTTCTGACCTAGGTCAGTTAACTGACAGAGCTAGGGGGTAAGCCCTGCAACTACTGGTTTGCTCTGCCATCTTATAAAATGCTGAATGGGACGTGCCATTAAAATACTTCGATTCCCTTGCCATTACATAGGGATTGACAGTATTTTCTAGATTGAAACCCTTGGTTCAACTACCACTGAGTAGCAAGTTAGGCCCTGTAAGTCCACTCACTGTTGCAGCCACTGTCTATCCATCACGTGTGTTGAGGGCCGATCCTCCTATTTCCCTCAAGCATGAGCTTTTCTCCAGACGGGTCTCTCCTGCTAACATGTCTGTGGTATGGCTGAAGTCCCCATAGCATCACTTATTTCCTCTTCTACAAAGGAGACTGAGGATGTCTCTGAATGCTGCTGGGAGGGTTAAGGAAGAAATGCATCCTAAATTCTTGGTACCTGCCAAGCATGAAACTAAGTGCTCAGATGTTTGCTGCTGTCATTCAATCTACTTGGGGATTCACTGATAGCAGTTTTTAAAGAGAGTAAAAGGCTTTCATCTATATAATTAGCCTCTGCCAGTAAATGAAAAAGCCTTCCCGTGTATTTAACATTGAAATAGCATTATTTCCTTTTAAGACGTGACCTCGGGGGAGGTTGGCATAACTGACATAGGAAGAGGCTGGGTGTAAAAAAGCCAAAGGGCCCAGTGGTCCATCTCACTTCAGCCAAATACAAGGGAGTGAGTGATGTGTCGGGAGCCCAGGTCCTTGGTAGGCCTGAAAGTGAAACCACCTTAAGATGTACACACCCCCACCCTCACCCCTATTTAGCAACACATGCTGCTGTGGGTACTACTGTTTCATACTTTCATGCCTTAAGCTGTCCCCAGGAACCTTTCCTCACCTGGTTTTCTGTAATTGAACATTAATAGAGCTGAGAATCTATTGGAGGGCTCATGCTTAAAAAAAACAACCAACTCTGCCATTGCTTCAATTCCAACTCCTAGGTAGATGCAATTTGAAGGTATCATTTCAATGAAATCTGAATGATCAGCTTGAGGTATGGTTACAAAGACATACGCATGTTACCCTTCCTTCAGCACAGTACACCCGCACCCTGGTGGCACAATCGGCTGTTCTTCTTTAACAATTTAAGCCTTAGGGTGGTTCTACTGTCCAAGAGGGTTGCTGGTAGTTGATTCAAGCACAAGCGGATTGGTCTTGGGGTTAGAATAGCACTAACATCTGGAGGCTGAGGCTCACATCCAATGACAACCATGTGAAAGAGGAAGCTGTTCTAACAGAAATGACACAGACCACGTGTGGCCAGGGTAAATGATGTGGGTTTCCTGAGATGGGCCACAGTGACTAATGACAAAATACACCTGCTTAAGGTCATTTTCATATTGAAAGACCAAACTGAATGGTGAGAACTAAAAATCAAGATCTTTCCGCCCCCAAACCTATGCAAGTTTACTATCACAAATACAATGTCTCTCTCAGTGCTGAGGTCAATAGTGCACACTATTTCCCTGGGGCTTACAGCATGAGTCTGCCTGCCTCCTTTGCCTTTCTCTCAGACAGGATCACAGTAGCGACAGACCTGCAAGCTGGTGATGTTGCCCACTTCAGGGATACTTTCAGGCATCAGCTCAATTGTAACCTGCTAAGAACTGAGCCTTTACCTGTGACTTTTAAGGCTCACTAAGAAACAGACAACTACTTTGCTGACCATAAACAGGTTGTAGGTGGTCTTACTGGAGCTGTAGTCTACCAGTCTACCTTCTTATTTCTCTAGAAAATGGAAATGGGAAGTTAATGGGGTGTGAGGATTTGAACTCATTCTGCCTGAATACATTAGGAAATTATTTCAATGAAATCCAAAAGATCAAATTTACAGGAATCATTAAAGACAGTAAAACCAATTGCACATGGAAAAAAATGTGAGCTGGTAACTTAGATCATAACCCTAAATGTCACTCTCTTGTCCAGACCTGCCCTTCCAAATATGAGTTTTAAAAATTAGATATGATCTTTTATGATTTTTAGACTTTAGTTGAAAACAAAACCCTGTTGCTTTGTTATTGGAACCAACAAATCAGGGAACTTTATTGAAAAACACAGCTGTGAACAAGCACATAATACTGCCACCCAGTGACGACATCCTGCAACTTCCTGAATCCTAAACTGATGTCCCAGTTCCCTGTGGGAACTGCGGTTTCCACTTCCACTTCTGGCTGGATTGGAAGGCGCAGTCCTGGACACCAACAAATCAACTTCAGACACTTGCATGTACAGCGGCCTGTGGCACAACAGCCTGCCTATCTGGAAAATTGCTGAAGTGTGACATTTACCCTTAGCCTAATACCATCATCCTTAAAATAAATTTTAAAAGCTCATCATTAGTATGAATGCTATTTTGAACCACAATTGAGAGAAAAGCAGAGACTACCTAATCTCATTTACTAAAATGCAGAAACAGACTATGCAAAAAAAGTCCAAAACACAAGTTTTATTGAAACCATAAAATACAGAAACCAGATTCTCAACTTAAAAGTAAAATTGATCGCACCTTCCCGAACTTTCCTGCTATTCACCCATTCTTGTCACAATTTAAAAAACAAAACCAAGTTCCAAATCCAAAAGAATAAATTTACTTTCATCCTTCAGTTTTGCTCCCGCCCTAGTTATGTTTCTAATAAACTTTACCTTTTCAAGAATGAGTTATCCTTTAATATAATTAATATTTGTGAGAACCAGTTCTTCATATTAATTGAAAAAAAAAACAAACACCCACACACAGACATCCTACTCAAACTTAGAAAAAATATACATTTGTTCTTTAAAGCTCACCTGCTTTAAGATAGCTTTTTCTCTTCACACATTAGCATGGTATGCCAGAGTTTGATCCATGCTACCATACTGGTGACAATGAACCAGACCGGGGAGGGAGAACCTAAGGGCCAACGCAAAAACCCTGGGCTGGGAAAGAAGAGCAAAGCAGAGGCATGGGGACTGTGCCGACCACTCATGGGGAAGAAAATAATCCTTGTCCAAGCACACCCAACAAGATGACATTTCACACATGAACACGAACCATCCGTTTTCCTGCCAGATTACTTATGTCAGACAACCGACTCCTGAAACAAGGTCTGGCTGGACTGTAATGAACTAAATCTGAATTTTCCTCCCCCCCTCAAAAGTGTTGGGGACACAGTGGGGCTCCAAAACGTTCTTGGAAAAATTCAATTCTCTTTTCATCCTATTTTTCCACCAACTTTTCTCATTTTTTAGATCTACCAATAGGGTAAGAGTCTTGTTTTGGGTCCTTGCTCGCCTCCTTCCCAAAGGGTCTAGAGGCCTTTTGATCTGAGGGCTACCCAACAACTCCCAGAGAAGTCCTCCTCTGGAAAGTTGCCAGCTCATCTTCCACCCTTGCACAAAGGCCAACTGCCACCCTGGGGCCGCTCCTTCTGGCTTCTCTTTGTGCTAGAACAAATTTCTCAGCATGGAGACTCCTTTAAGGCCACATGCTTTCAGTTGGTCCCGTTAAACACTGTTCACAAGGCAGGAGTTTTCCAAACAACATGTCTCAAACCCACGCACACATTTCAACAGGGTATGGTTTACATTCACCTCCAAGACTGAGAGCAAGAAAACTATTAGCTGGTTTTCCAACTGGTTTCAATACTGAATTGCAGTTTGGGTCATTTTACTATGTAGACATTAAATATTCTGTTTAAATATTAAACATTAAATCTTTTCCTGACTATCCAGACAGATGTGAGAAAGCAGGAACAACAGGCCAAGAGAAGAAAACAAGCCCCAATGACCAGACTTGTAACCAACTCCTGCACCATATGTAAGAAGGTAAGGGACCTCCTAACACGAGTTTCAGGGATGCCTGGGAGCTGGATTCTGAACATTTACCTCTACTGGATAGAGCATTCTTTTTCTACGCAAGGAATCCAAGCCCTACAAAGGGGGGATGACATCCCCACACAAAAATGACAAACTGGAGTGGTCTCCTGTCAGGTGACTAAAGGGTCAGTATTACACTCAGTTAAAAGTCATTAACAGATATTTGGTAGCAGTAGATAAATTGCCATTTTACTTTGCCCTGAGTCCTTTGCCACACAGAAGAACTCTTCCTGAGAAATTAGAAATATCAATCCTGGTTATCCCTGAGGGGCACCTTGAGCCTGGGCTAGGTGTTCAAAGAGCAAAGGTGCCCTGCAAGCTGAGAGCCACTCTCTACTGTCTGTTAGCCTTCCTGTGGAATTGGTTAAGCACCATGTCAATTGGCTCTTTCAGTAAATCTCAATGTCCCTTGCCCATTGGGTTCTCAACGGATTCGTTGTTTTCTAAATTAGTACTAAAAGACAAACAAGTAAACCCAAACAACTTGCTAATACAGGTACACTTGTCTACCCTTCAGAGTTAAGCAGTAACCTTTGCTGATCAGCCAGGCTCGCAATTACACAGGGGAAACCAAGGAACAACGGCAGGACAAAGCAGCTTTGAAGGAAAAACCTTTTCTGTGTTTTCTCCTCGGCATTTTCAGCGTCTGGTGATGAGGTGAGCCACTATGCTGTTGGCTACTTCAATCGGCACAGCTACAGTAAACTGACAACTCGAGGAAGAGGTTTAGGGTGCTGTTCAACTTCCTAACAATAGGCGGCAGCTCCTGCTGTGCTCACTTCTTACCAGTGCTATACAGACAAGCATGTAAACAGAGCCAACCAGGCTAGTCATGCTCCAACGGTTGGTGGGAGGAGGAACCTGTTCCTTTCCATTGAGACTCGTCTCCCAGTGTCTGCAGGGTTTAGGCAGTGTCCTCTGTGACCAGAGTGGCCCCTGCCCACTCAGCTTCTCCACTTGCCTCTGAAGAGGCTGGCAGTGCTTTAATCAGCCGCCCTCCCACCACACCCAGAAAACCAGCTTTTTCCCTTGAGGAAAGCTTCCTTGGCAGAAAGTTGAATTCAGTGAGTGGACACTCAAAGTGATTGTCCAGCCCAGATCCCAAGTGGGGTTTTATCAGGCCCGCTTCAGAAAACCTTCAAGTCCCTATTCTAGGCAGACAGGCTCATAGCTGAACACAAGAACCTTCTAGAATGTGACTTTACTGTAGAAAACCATTCCTAAAGTTCCATCTCTTCTTCTGTGCAAGCGGCTGTCTCCACGCTACTATAGAGAGGCACCCCTGTTTGTCTTGGTTCCAAGAACAGTTCAGTTCTCTGGGAGAAGGCAGGGCTGGCAGCCATGTGCTTGGTCAGCTTCTCTCCTGGGTAGTTCTTAGTGTTGGGTGATGGCTTTGGCTTCTCAGAAAGGAGTTCAGGGAGAGGTTTCCAGAGCACGAGCTCCATGGAAGGACGGCTCCTAAGACACAGATGTTCACACACACAAAAAGAAGCTTAGGACATAGAAATAAGAGGAACGTGCTAAAAGCTAATGTCTGCTACTGGATGTCAAGTGGCAGCACCAAAATAGGGGATTTACTTCAAGTCAAACTGATCTTTAGAAAGGCCTCAAGTATGTAAAATCCCAACATTCTGCATGCGACTCTGTAACTAAATTCACTGATATTACTGGTGCTGTGATTCAAAGCAATACAAACATCCAAATGCACAGAACAAAGATCCAAGATTTACTGGGGAGTGGAGGGTGTTCAAAAGTTGGTGGGAAAATTACATTATCTTTTCTATTTTCCCACAAACACTTTGAAAGTCCATCACATTTCTTCAACATTACAAGAGATTTATAAATTGCCATCGTATTAGCAGATGTGGAATGCCATTACAAACTCAAAGTGAGGCACTGGGCAAACATGCTTGCAGTAGTTATTTGGCACAATGCTTTTTCAGTTAACCTAAAACGATGCTCCTTCCCTGGTTGTGGTGGTTTCTTATACTCAAAGACAAAAACTTATGTCATCAAGTTAATTCTGATTCATAGTAACCCTGCAGGGCTGAGTAGAACTTCCCCTGTGGGTTTTCCAAGGTTGTAACTATTTATGGAAGTAGAAAGTCTCATCTTTCTCCCAAGGAGCTGCTGGTGGATTCGCTGCTGGCCTTGCAGTTAGCAGCCCAATGGTTAACTCACTAGGAGCCAAAGGCAAGTAAGTCAAAATAAAATATAAATTAAGAATGACATGCCCAAAGACTAGCTTCTGGGAAACGACCAAGAGCAGAGAGTGCTATTTATTAGGCTGGAGGGCAATGCGACCTGCTCTCTCTTTGCTAAGCTATTTACCCACCCCCTCAGGACTGAGTAGTTAATCATCAGCTCAAGATAGGGCACTAACTCAAGATCTCTATGATCTAACGCCAAGCAGCAGCTAAACCTCCCAGCACAATCACTTCCACTGTGTCCAAAGGCAATGCTTCATCTCCAAGTACCTGACATCACTGGGAATGGCAGTGCAGTGACACACATTGGGCTGCAATCTCCAAGGTCAGCAACACCAGCTGCTCCGAGAGAGAAAGACAGGGCTTTCCACTCCCATAACAGTCAAGTCTCGGAAACCCACAGGGGCAAGTCTGCCCTGCCCTATAGGGTCACTCCAAGTCCAACGTCTTGGTGGCAATGAGTTTGGTTTTGTTCTCTACTGCTTTCAAAAACTCAACCCTAACTAAACACCAAGTCTCCATACAACATGTTCAAGTCCTAATTGCCTACAAAGGGTGACCAGGTGGCTTACAAGTTGAACCACTCAACTACAAGGCAACCAGTTGAACCCACCAGTAGCTCCAAGGAAGAAAGATGAGGCTTTCTACTCCCATAAAGATTTACAGCCTTGGAAATTACTATATAGGGGTGCTCTGAGTCAGTTGACTACATGGCAGTGGGTTTGGTTTATTGTTTCTTGGCTGAAGGGCCTGAGGGGCGACTCATACAGAAACCAAGAAAAAAGCTTTGTTTTGTGGCCTTCGTGGTCAATGTGTTGACTGCTAGCCCAGTTCCGTTTGTTTCCTAAGTTTCAATGAGGTTCCTTAGAGAAATGAGAGATCCAGCTAAGCAAGCACCTTTAAAAGGCAGTTCCTATTGGCAATCACAAAAATAGAAGCAAATCACCTTTTGTTTGCTAGTCCTCTATTTCCAAGGATTAGACTATAGTGCATTTCAGAACCTTAACCAAGAAGTGGGCAAAACAACCATTCCCAAATACGTCAAAGTCTGGCTCACCATAGCATTTACTCAAGCCAACAAACTAAGGCAAGGCCCGTCTCCAACAGGCCACTGGGCTCCAAACACCACCTTCTGGTGCTGTCCCCTGCCTGGTGATCAGGAAGAGATGAGAACCCTGAAGGAGAGGGCTAGCACACACCGGTCTCCTCTCACAGATCCTAATTTAAAAGTACCCAGACTTACATGCACTCAATCATTTTCTTGGTAAAGATCTCATCAAAATCTCGCTTCAATCCTGTTTTCATGGTATCAGAAAGGACTAGGCTGGGGAGATGGTTAATATTTCTGTCAGCTTCAACTTCTTCATCTTCATCAATTATCCTTAAGTAAATTAAGAAAGAGGAAGGAGCAGAGAAGGGGAGATTATTTACCTAAGTCATTCTAACAATTGGGGAGAGTGTTTTATTTTATTTTTTTAATTAAATGAAGTTGGATAAAAGCACCAGCTGCTACAGCAAAAGTTCAACATAAAAGTTTGGGTTTAAAAAAAAAGCATGTGCAAAAGAATTGTTCAACACCTCAAGTTAACAAATGTTTTATATTAGATGCAATCAAATTTGAAGATGTCTCAGAAAACAAACCCAAAATGGAAGACAGAGGTAGTAGGTGGAGAGCTGAATTAGTCTGTTCACGAGAATAGCTCACGTTACCATGCAAAGTGCATGCTTTTTTGAGTTCCCTGATTTTTATAGCAACGAGGCAGCTATGGTGGCTGACAACTTACCTGTCCTCAATTTCCTGAAGCTTCCTTCGGGCAACTTCACATTGTGGTTCAGCAGTTGTCTGGTCCATTTCTTCAAAGGCCACATCTAACGTGCCAGACAGAGAAAGGCCACTAGTGCACGGATTGACGCCATGACCTTCTACTTCCTGATGTGCACAAAGAATCCAGTCAGTAGAGCCAGGACAGAGCCCTGCTCCCAGCAGTCTTTTCTTTCTCACTGGACAACTGAAGAAAAAAATGTTCTCAATGAAAACACCAACTTTTTTCCTAATTAGCTAGAAAACAAATGAAACGGCCAGCGCCCCCACCTTAAAATTCGTATATGGACAACAAAAACAAAAAACAAACTCTACATCTTTTTCTGTCACCCTCACAGCCTTCCTGAGAGGGCTTTCTTTCCTTTTCAGATTAGACGTGTTCAATGTGAGAACTTCAGTCAGTCCTACCAATTCTTGCAAATAGTCAAAGGAGAAGTAAAAGAACCCACTATACCAACTACAGTTAATTCATGGAGTGCGGGTAGTGTAGTGCTTATTCACTGGGATACAGTCCACAAATGGGGCTTTCTACTCCCGCAAAGAGTCAGTTTCAGAACCCCACAGACAGTTCTACCCTGTTCTACAGGGTTGCTATGAGTCAGCATTGACCCGATGGCAGTTGACTGACAACACAGTTAATTTCACACTACTACCGTTAATTCCTACTACTAAAACAATAGTATTGTCTTACTACTGGCTCCACAGGGAAGTGTCCTGGCAGCCACCCTATACCCTTTCCTAGGTGGGAAAAAGTGTGCCCTATCAGGTCAGTTCCACATAGTTCAGTGTAGGTGATGCTGGGCTTTCTCATTCCCCTCCACAATGTCAGAGGCTGTCATACGGCTCTATCAGTCCCCATCTTACAACATGTCACCTTTACTTCCTAGACAAATTCATGGGCAGAGATTTAGAAACTAGGGCCTAGGAAACCTCACAATCATGGCAGAGAGTGGATGTTTGGAACCAGGTTCCAGAGGTGTACTCAAAATACGGCCCGCCGAGGACATTTATCCAGCCCGCTGGGTGTTCTTGCCCCATTTTTTTACTTCAAAATAAGATATGTGCAGTGTGCATAGGAATTTGTTCTTAGTTTTTTTTTTTAAACTATAGTCCAGCCCTCCAATGGGTCTGAGGGACAGTGAACTGGCCCCGTTTAAAAAGTTTGAGGACCCCCTGTTCCAGAGCTTGCAAACCCTGCCTTTCTGCTGTTTCCACTAAATCCCTGGACTCCATAAGGGCAATAAGCTGTTCAAACACCTTCCATAAATTAGTATTTACAAGTACCACACCATGAGCATTTTAACTGAAAAATGTCTGAAGCAAGTTAAAATTGGCAGTCATGCCCATTCTACTTAGGAATTTAGGCTACAAAGACTTTATTGCTTGGGCATCAGCAAGTGCAGTATCAAGATCAATCCAGAGCTCTGTAGCCAAAATTCAATAATGGCTACCACTACCTCTGATCCTCGAAACCGAGTCAGAGGACCACACACACCATTTACCCACTGCCATCGAAGTCAATTCTTGCTCATAGCTGTCCTTAAGTATGGTTTCTGAGGCTGGAAATCTTTCTTTCTCCCACGGAGTCAAAGAAGGCAATATGCATTTTTCAAAAGGAAATTTCTATCCGTTAACACTGGAAAAGCCAATATTAAAGTTGCTGCCGACAGAAACTCTGAGAATAATGATTTCCTAGGAACCTAGAGTGTTGAGTAAAACCAACTATTGTATAATAGGTTTGGTTTACAATAAGTTTCCATCAAAAGTATGTGTGGGTGTATATATATATAT